AGCAGAGAGTGTCAACGCGCGGTAATGCCTCCGGCTAACGCCGAGCGCTCAAGACCATTAGGATAGCCCATCATCCTACTATGATCATAGCCATTCGCTCTACTGCCATCCAGGACTGGGCACGATGAAGACTTCCTCATAAAGGTTAACACTGTCGGTATTGCCCGCTATACAGGAGGCACTCGAGCAACAGTCTCAATCGCCATCGTGGCTCGGATACTACTGCCCAGCTTACTATCCAGCGCTGTTAGCAAAAGCCTCCCAGGAGCATCGTCTCAAGTCCCACTGGCATTCTATTGCCGCCAAAAATTCACGTCCCCTTCTACGGATTACCGCGCTGAAATGGCGGACTCCCAAGAAGGTACCGCAGCGGCGCCGCAACAGCCTCTAGTGATGCAGATTGTCGTAAGGAGGGACCTGCTCGACGTTCGTTTATTGACTCAATTTATACGATGCGCCCGCTGACCTCAAAGTCCCATCATGTTGTGACTTATGCTTTAAATCTCATTGACTCCGGTATTGTCAACGCGATACTTCTCTCTGGATAGGCCGAAGGCTGGGGCGTTGGACCGTTGATGGCGCAGGTTGCACACGCTACGTCTGCGGTGAGAATTCCACGATCCAAAGCACAGCAAAGGCAAAATTCTCATTTATACCAACCAGGTGCTACATGAGACTCGCGGGCGGTCAGAGACCCAAGCGTACTTAGACGATCTGAAAAACATGCGGAAGGTCTGATATTCACATTGCTTGAACTGCGAGTGTGTACGACGCTGATACAAACCGTGTGCCGGCGTGCCATACAGGTCGTGCTACAGGTACCTTTTGCTACACATTGATATTTATCATTCCATACATCTAACCCTATACTGCTCACAGACGGCTGACGGGACCAGCCTAGAGCGCCTAGTCAACTTGCTCTCTGCAGATCCTCCAGTACCACACCACCTTTGGACGGAACAGCCCGAGAACGTGCCAACATGCGTCGCCCTCGCGCCGAACCGGAGGGAGGCAAAAATCAAGAAGGCGTTAGACAAAACCGGCTGTCGACTCTGGAAAGGTTAAAGTATACGGTCCGCACACAAGGAGTATAGCGTGAGCAGAGTACGGACCAAGGGGCGAACAAGCCGTTGAATAAGCTTATGCTCACTAGACATGTAACGGGGAGTTCGAACACCCACACCCCAAAATTACCCCAAGTAGACAGCGTAGTATTCGTGACAAGTACAACAAAATGCTCCTTTCGTACTGTACGAGGCTACTATCAACGGCGTGCCCTCTTACGCGCCTTCACAGAATCCTTGCGCGTTTTCGCTCGGGCCACCCGCTTCTCGGGCTTGTGTGGTGTTCCCAAAGCTTCGTCACGGGCCGCAGCCCCGGCAGCAAGGCGTGCGGACTTGCGCCCCTTGGCGGTGAGTTGCTTCGGCGAGGGCGGCTTGACGAGCTTCCGCGGTACCTTGAGCTGGTCCGCAGTTTTGTCCGCAATGGGCCAATCTTGTTCGGCAGATGGCGAAGAGCACTTGAACAAGTCAAGGATCGCCTTGTGAGACGACAGAGCTTTGTGGCCGGGAGGTTTGGGCCAGAATCTGCGGCGGTGCGAGTGGAGCCAGCTCATGATTCTCGCGTGGACGGTGTTGAGGGGATGGTCGCGGTTGACTGGCGCGTCTTCTCCTTCATTTTGCCAGAAGATTTTGAAGCACTCGTGCCACTGTGCGAGTATGTCGCCGTCGTACACGCATTGACCTTTGAATTCTGCGTACAAGGAGTCGTCCGACCGTGTGTTGAATAATTGATCGAAGAGCTTCGTCAGGTCTTCGGCGTTGTGCGGCAGAAAGCGTAAGACGAAAAAGACAAAAACCCAGAAAAACGACTCCAACTCGTCTTCGAGGTAGTTTTCGGACCTCCCTTCGCTGACCGCCACGGACTTAAACTGTATAGTACCCTGTGACGCGTTGGTCAACACTCAAGGAGGGATGAAGATTGACTCGAAGATTGGTACTCACCACACAAGCGGCAAGGGTATCTTCGTCGTGAGCCTGCGTTATGCGCCGGGCCACCTCCCAGTCAATTAGCATGCCACACCAAGTCTCGGTAGCATCGTCGTAGTAGAACATCAAGTTCCCGCTGCTGATGTCGCCGTGCATGATGCCTACTTTCCATGCGTCGGAATGCGCTACCAAATCTTCGGTTAGTAGCGGGATAATACTCACAAAGCAAGTAGGCTTACCGGTGATACAACACCAAAACCCATATGCAAGCATACGGCCGTTGGTGAACTCCTTGAGCTGCTTGCACACTTCCTTCACCACTATACGATAATGCACATGTTCCAGGGGTTTCTTCTCGTCCAAATCGGTGCGCCAGGAACCCCAAGATAGTTTCCAGTTTTCCAACGTACGCGTGCGCTGCTTCGCCACATCTCCGTGACACACAAGCGTAGGCACGAACCGGACTCCCGCCTGGTTGAGAGTCGCCAGGGTTGTCCCTTCCACCGTGAACTTATCATCTGCCCAACGCCACGTATCCTTGAAGAAGACCGGGGGTGCGTCCAGATCGGCCGCGTCGAGCGCGATGTACCCCCGCATCCCCCGCCCGATGAGGCGGGACGAGATCAGGTCATGGGGCTGCGCGACGAGGAAAAAACGCTCCCCGCAAGTCGCGTCATCGACGCGGTACTTCCACCAGGGCCATCGTTCGCTCAGCGACTGCGCGAAGAGGGAACGGGCATAGGCCGCGCCCTCCGATTCCCCCGCGCGGACCTCTGCACGGCCCCGCATCTCCTGTGCGAGCGCCGAGTCGTGGGGTATCGCCTGCACCGTCGGGTCGAAACCGCGTTGCTCGAGGGTGGCTCGAGAGTAACGTCGGAGGAATTCGAACAGGAGAGATGTCTGGCCTGTGTAGCAGTCGATCAATTTGGTGGCGATGATGCCGCTGCGGTCGACACGAAGGATGCGCGCTGCGTGTCCGAAGAAAAGGAGGGCAAAGCAAAATACCCGCTGCTGGTACTGGAAGATGGGCTCCAGCCGCTTGACGATGTCTTCCTGCAGCTTCTTGCTCTTCTCCTGCATCGCTTCGGGTTCCCAATGGCACGTTCCGAAAGGTCGTTCGCTCAGAGGCTCCCACCATTCCTGGCATATAACCGGAAGGTCCATGGTGGAGAGCAGTAGCGGGGTGATATCCTTGTTCGAAACTTTATCGGCAGTGAGCGTTGGTGGGGGCTTGCCGTCGTTGGGCCACAGAGCCGTCCACACTCTCAGATGGTCGGATTCTGACGTCTGCTCTCGAATGGTAATGAAGGAATGGTCTGGAAGCAGCCGGGCGCGGTTGATAAGATTGGTCTGGTAGACCAATGGGGTTGAGCATGAGTTAAGGTACATGGCACTTCGGACTCACAGTGTGGCTGTAACGTTCGAAATCGGTCTTATAGTCCGACTTCATCCACATACGAGAGGAGGTCCTTATGGGTGAATCAGAAGGCGTTGAGAAATAGAAGTCTATAAACTTCATGGGATCCATGGGTATGGTGTCAGCGAGAACCGTCATGGTTGGATGGCCCAGAAGAGATGGGACAAGGCCCAGTGGAAGTAGAAAGTAAGAGGGAGAGATGGGTGTCGGACTGCGGGACGTCCCGAAAGAACATGCGCTATTTATCTCCTTGCAAGTTAGCCACAAAAACAGCGTCAAATATCACTTTGGCCACAACCTCCACGTGCGGACTATTAGCCGGCCTACTCATCGGTATCAGGGTCACCATTGTCTATCTGCCTTCACCAGAGGCTGTGCGGCTACAAACGATGGTAACACGCGCTGGTCGGACAAAGATGGGCGGGAGGATTACTGGAATGGACGTCAATAATATAGAAACCTGGGTGCCAGGAAATGTGCGACGTGACGGAAGTGGCATTGGCTACACAGAGTAATACGAGGATATACCTGTGTGGTCCCGGCAATGCAGCGGCACTTGTCCCTGGGCGTTCGTACTGGGAAAAACTATCCAACGCCTGGGGGGTTTGACTCACTTACGTGGTCTTATCTACGCACGGCCGCTAGAATCTGAATAATTGGATGGCAGGTATATCTGCTGACATTCATCATTCCGCCATGTCCGAAAAAACTTATATTAATACATCACCGAATACAACACGTAGCGAGCAGTTGATACCACCCAAGCACAGCGTGCACTTGGGTCGTAGGGTGACGCGCGAAGGCACAACCCTAGTACATTTCGAGACTCATCCCGTCGTGGATCTCGTAGTCCGCGAGCGTGATGTGATCCTTGTAAATCGTGTACCTAGAAGCATGCAGGGGATCGATCAAGACGCAAGGGACAAACACGCGATACAACTGTGTACGCACCACTTCTTCAACTGAATCTTGGTATGATCGGTTCCAGTCTGGGCAGCGATGAGCCGCTTGAGGTCACCGACAGTATCGTCGGGGCTGCACTTCACACGGACTACGTAGTAGTCGTATTAGCCTTATCGGCCCACTTCGGGGGTACAGAGAGCGTCTAGACTTACCTTTGCGTCCCAGACGGTCGTTGGCAATAACCTGTGACGGTTACGGTGGCCCATTGGCAAAAGTGAGAGGATAGATGGATATCATCAGGCCAGAGACATTCCGACTGTTAGAACACTGTCACAAGGAACTTTGAACCGTTTACGCACTTCGATGAGAGGCATAACGTCTTCGAAACTGCCAAACGAAATCAGGCTGCCGGAGAGAGATGAGAGTCGAAAGCCAAGGTACAAGGAAATGCGGCCCGGCGATCTGCTCTTACAAACGCCCGCACCGTTCTGACTGAAAAGGCAAGCGACTCCTCGCGGGTTCTCGCTATACCATCGTAACAGTCTTGGTGAACCTCGTCACTGCAGTCTTTACACTTTTGTGCCAATAACACGCTACGTACGACCTCGAAGGACGGTATAGTAAAAAAAGGGGTTCTCTGTACGCTTAGACTGGCGGATCGCTGTGATAGCTACCAGCCCCTATCGCGCACATCCCGTTTAGCTCAGTGGTAGAGCGCATCACTTGTAAGGAATGATGCGGTCAGTCGTTCGAATCGGCTAATGGGAACGATTCTTTCGTTTTTCTCTCTATGTGACGGTCACTAGACGGACTCGGACACGCGTTTACTTCTTCCTAATATCCCGTCGCTATAGCATACATGATCGCATGCAGCCACGACGCTGCAGGAAAGAGAAGATGGTCGAGCCGCATCCCCACGTACTCACCGAAGAAGATTGAGCTTGACATATAGGAAATACAATCGGGGATCTGAGAACGTGTTGCTGATTGCGGGTGCAGCAGAGATAAGTGTACGACACTTGTAGCATAGCGTCGGGAAAGTGCATGCATGTCCGGTGCTACTAGTAAGATACAGCGGTAGAATGCCACGGTAAAGTATGAAGGCACTGGTGTTGGTGGCCGCTGGCCGTCGGGTTGAGGTTCATCAGGAAACCGTCCGGTTTACTTAGGCCCTTGTAGCCTCTTGTACATGCTTAATCAGACGATCTAAGACGATTCCAGTCTGATCCAGGACTCCTGGATCAGAAGGTCCATTTTCTGGAGCAAGCGCAAATAAGTCGCATTAAGCTCACAAGTAGTACGAAGTACGTCAAAACAAGTCCGAACAAGTGATCACAAGTTGGTACAATATGCATCAATACCAGGATCTCACGAATAGAGCGGCCGAATGTAGCATAGCGAATAGCCCGCAGGCCGTGGTAGTGAACGTATGGGGTGAGGAATCAATGGTAAATGAGGGGCAGGGGGTCAGGATGGGAAACAGAATTGTAGTCCGAGTCACCAAGATCGTAGTTGCCGCGGACGGCATAAAAACCAGTCTGGTACACGCAACACATCAGTATCAGCGAGCACACATGTCCAATAGGGAAATGAGCGAAAAGGTATAGTACGGCACCGTTGATTGTACGTGAACATCAGCACTGCAAAATAAGTATCTGAGCACCGCCGGAACGGCCCGTGTCTCACTACTGTGGAGATGATTAGCACACGGACACGGAATATATGACTGCTCTGGCACGTACCTGCGTTGGAACTCATTGTCGATTAAAGGGTGCCCCGGAGCTCAGCTTCGTAAGCAGTTTGATGGTCGTCATCGATGTCCGCACGACCTCCAGCCATCGGCAGGTCGAAGGTGTCTGAGTTGTCGTCCGAGGAGTCTGAATCTGAGTCTGAGTCGTCGAGGCTACGGCCGGTGATGTAAAGTTCAGCTCTGGACAGGATGCCATCCCACTGCTTCTCTGTAAGGTTGATGATCCCGCCGAGGTATTCGGTAGCAGTCTTGCCCCAGGAACGATCGGAGAACTTCGCCTCTTCACTGCGTGGGTTCGGGCGCTTCAACCAGCCGGTCTCCCACATTCTCAAGGCGCGCTCGATCTGGTCAGGATATTGTAATGAGTGTATGTCTCCTGTTGTCGAGAATGGGCGTACCGCAGTAGTCGCAAGCGCCAGCGCGTTGCACGGATAGTCGCGAAACTGATCTGCACGAAGGCCTGTGCGGCGGAGGTGATAGGAGAACGTGCACGCGATGAGCTTGCCCTGATACACATCAATCTTTTCCTAATATTATAACAGAGTTATATGGATTAGATGGATTCGGAAGGCGCAGATGCTGAGGTGCACTCACAAGCGTTCCATCTCGGGGGTTTGTGAAAACACGCACATACCGGAAAGGGTACTTGAGCTCCTGGGAATCGGTGAGCGCCCATGCAATGAAGTCCGCGCGCTCCTCAGCACTCGTGAAGCGCCTGGACTGCATGTATTCATTGACCACGTCGAGGGCTTCTTTGGCAACGCCGTTGCGATATTCCGAGAGCTTCTGCTTTGCCTGGCATTACGGAAGTCAGAGATCTAGTAAAGAGACCTAACCAACGGGCACTGAAAGCAACTCACAACTTCATAGAACATTCGTCGGGGCACTATCTCTGGTTCAATGGTGGCGATCAGTGTTGGGAAGATGTCCGTAGCGATACCCTTCATGACGGAGGGCAAGTCGACGCCATACAGCCGCCACGGTCCAGTAGCGCTATTGCCAACAAGGTAGATGAGCTTAGGCAGGAAGATGAGCGTGAAGTTTCCCGCATAGGGACCGAGAAGCTTTTCTATATCGGCCATAACCCAATGGCGAGCCCCCTTGCGCAGTGCAGACGGTAACACCGAGGCCGCATCAGAGGCACCGGTCGTCACCGAGGTCACCGTTGACAAGAGTGGATGCTTCGGGGCTGAAGAGGCAGCTACATCAACAATCTCGACCGCTAGTATGCCCCCTTTCATCGGCTGCGCCGGGACATAGCGCAAGGTAAGCCGCCGTGAATGTAAGATACATGTATACTGAGAAGAGAACATACCCTTGTGCTCGTGACAGCCAGTGCCGTCTCCGAGTCGGTCTCCGAGTCCGAGTCCGAACCGACGTTGGGCAATTCGGGGCCTTGTTCAATCGCCTCATCGTCATCTGCCGGTACATATCCCCCAAAGCCAACGCTCACGACGGCCTCCGAGGATGCAATGTCCGTGGCCACGGTGTTTGAGCCGCTTACACCCGGGGAAGTCGAAGCCGTCTTGGCCTTGACAGAGGATCGAGGAGTCCGGAAAGCTGCAGGCGGAGACAAGTGTGTACTATGAGCAGTCGGAGCGCCAGGCTTCGCAGGTGTGTGCTGTATGGCGTTATCCTGCTCCGTTGTCGCGGGTGTCTGTCGAGGCAGCAGGGGTGAGGAAAACTTCGATGCTGCGGCGGGTGTGACGCCCGCTAGCTTTGTCATCTTGCCCTTCTTGGGTTGCGGGAATTCCAGCCTGTCACCGGAACTCTGTTCAATACCACCACCCTTCACGGTTGAACACACCACGGTACGCACCCTTGCTCGTTGTTCTCACTCCTGCGCTTCAACTTACGACCATTGGCGCTAGGCTTTGGAGCAGCCGGCGTAGCCATCGGTGGCACCCCAGGCTGAGTCGGACTGAAGAGTGCCGCTGAAGGCGCCCCGGAGCCAGTGGCAGGTCCACGGTAAGCATCCACATCGGCACGGGATGCTCGCTTTAGTCTCCCCCCCCCTGACTGTCCCTTTGCTCCAGTCCCACCCACAGGAGGCTGCCCCGCAACGACGGCTGTGTGCTGACTTTCTTGAGTCACTGCTGGTGGGGCATGTTCAGAAGCGGAAACTTGTTTGCCCTTGCGGCGGGTGCTCGTCTTCGCAATGCTCGCCGGCGGATCATTAGCGGTGAGTTTACCTTTAGTAGTCGCCTGCTCGATGGGCATTTGCTGACCGCCATCGATGTCCTGCATCTTCAGTTGTTCTTCGAGCATGGCAAGCTTACGCAAGTCGGCCGCCCGCTTTTCGACGATTGCTTGACGCTGGGCCTCAAGCGCGGCCTTCTCCTTGGCAACTTCAGCTGATGAACGACGAGATCGCTTGTCCTCTAACAGTATGTCAGCAGGATGAAGGTTTGCATTGGAGCGGCGCGGGCGAGGGGTCGTAGACATCGTCTCGGAGATGCGGTGAGCTGGTGACTGGGCAGGGTAACTGAGGTCCCGAGCAGGAGGGGAGGTAAGCGTGGATGAAATCGGATGGCCCGCGCTGATGACCCCTTTTATACGTTACAGATAGGCCCTGTCGACGCAACGCTGTGACACCCTGTCCGTGACTCGGACGCAGGTGGGCAGATTGGTGCACGGCTGCCAATTGGTGCGTTCTTTCAGTTTGCCCGACGGTTGCGTGCTCACTCGTCACACGCCTTGCACCTCAGATACTGCAAGAGCATGCTGCGCCCGGCCTTCCACCTGCCATCAGGCTGCTCACTCACCACAAGTCCGACTTGCCTTCTCCCTGCTCGCAATGCCTGGCCGTCGCCGCAAACAGCACAACGCGTATGAACACAAGTGCCCCCACTGTGTCAAGCCGGAGAAGTGGTGCAAAAATTTATCCGGTCTAACGCAGCATATCAACAGTGTTCATATCGAACTTCGTGCACCAAGTCCCGTCCGCCTTAGTCCTCTCCGTTCCTCTTCGCCTTCTTGTGCCCTGCCACAGCGTAATTCATGGGATGCACCTGCCAGTGCTCACTTGCCTAGTCCCCTCAATGATGCTCCAGGGGCAGTTCCGCCCCACTCCAGAATGACTCGCGCGCTGGACGATGAACCTGCTGACCGGGAATACCATCCCCATCTGAACGGTACGTGGGTTTTTACTGACCTTCAATGTGCCTGTGACCTGAAATTGACATCAATTTCAGGGCGCCCTTGCGATGCTACAGGGACATACGTTCCCGAAGAATGCCCCCCTCCACCTCGCACAGAAGCTCCCGCTGGCGACTGGAGTCCATTTAGTAGTCGTGTAGAGTTCGAGCTTGCGGAGTTCCTGTTCCAGAAGGAACAGATGCCTCAGTCTAACATCGATACACTGCTTGATCTCTGGGCCGCAGATGTCATTCGATACGGCGGCAGTCCACCCTTCGCTGACCATGCCGATCTCTACACCTCGATTGACTCCATCAAGGTCGGTGAGGTCCCCTGGCAATGTCTTAGGATCTCATATCAAGGTGTACGTCCTGAACATCACGTCCCTTCCTGGATGGAAGATGTCTATGAAGTCTGGATGCGCGATCCCCGCTGCGTATCCTTAAAAATGCTTGCCAATCCCGATTTTGATGGCAGCTTTGAGACGACTCCGTACCGCGAGTACACTGCATCGGGTGAACGCCGCTACGGTAATCTCATGTCAGGCAACTGGTCGTGGAAGCAAGCAGTACGTTATGTTCCTGGTCACGGTAGTGCGCATCAGCTTCCTATCAAAGTATTAATCATATTCTTCCTCTAGGACTTGGTGGCCCAGGAAGTTGCTGGCAGTGAAGGCGCCATGCTCGTGTCGCAGATATTTGGTAGCGACAAGACAACGGTCTCTGTCGCCACCGGCCAGAACGACTTTTACCCGTTATACATGTCGCTTGGCAATCTCCACAACGGAACACGACGGGCACATCGTGATTCAATACTCCCAATCGCATTCCTTGCGATCCCCAAGGGTAGTACCTGGTTCATTTTCACGAACAGTCGTGAA